CCTTGGTTTGTATAAACTAATCTAAGACTATGCAATAACCTTATATATCATGAATAGCAAGTTTGGGATTGTTCCGACCCGGTCCAGGGACAGAATTACCATTTTCGGGAGACATATTCCACCGGGACTGTCCATTGTCCAATTATATGTAAACGATTTTTGCGTTGCCAAGGGATACTATTTTTAATTTTTTTTTTTTTTTTAAATATAACTCAAATTCAGCATAACTTTTATATTTACAGGAGGAAATGTTTTATGTTATTCATTTACATTTTTAATATTTCCGATGGAACCACCGCAGTAATCAAATTGAAAAATATAATCTAATAATAATACACATTTTTTAATTCATGCACTTGTTTTTTGAATATATACACACGAAAATATCTAATTTTATAATTAGATGTTAATATGGGTTATGCCGAATAGCCATACAAATAAGAAATAAGAAGAGTGATGTTATTGATCATTGTTGAAATCATTTTTATTACAATCATATTGACAAAAATTTTGATTTAACAAAAAATGATCACATAATATTACACACGAACATGTTTCATATAAAATAAAGATAAATTATACTTCACTGTTATATAGTCGTCTTGGAAACTACCTACAGGTAACAGAAAATCCATAACATGATGTTCTTCATGAGGTACACATGGATTCTTTTTATACCACTATCCGATCTTAAAACTGTTTCTGTTAATTATTTTGAATATAAATGTCTATACTTAAATCAAAACATTCGATATTAGTTAAGTTACATACCATTTGAAAATTTTTTAAAAATTTATAAAAAATCATAATATATTTTAAATAAATCTAAATAGTTTTATAGCCGTAAAATGATGATTTTGTTACTCTATTTGTGTTCTGAGAAAATCAGGCAATGAGTCGGATTTATAATGAATAATATATTATTTTAAGTGCATGTTTAAAACATTTTTAAAAAATTAAACTGAATAGAATTCACAATGTAAATGTTTTGTGTGATCAAGAATTACTAGGCATAATATGTCTAGTCGAAATACTAAAATAAATTCACGAATTAATTTAAATTTTAAATAAAATTGTTAACGTTTTAAAAATACATTTTTTTTTTTTTTTTTTGAAACAAATCAGTTTTTAAATTTATATTCTTTTTTTTCAGTATTTTATTTCAATAATTTCCAATGTTAGGTTCAAATATTTATACTTATTATTCGGTCAAATAATTTTAATTTTTATTTCAAATAATAAACACACACTATGTTTATAATTATTTATTACTATTAATATTACTATGTCGACCTATACTTTTGTTATTGATTAAAACCCATCTCACAGAATACCTTTTTAACATTTTTTTTTTTAAATATCATCGAAAATAGAAAATAATAATTGATTTTAATAATTTTGATGATTACTCTCTCTTTTATATATATATATTTTTTTTTGCATACTCCCCTCCCCAATATATTCCTGAATTTCATTCGATTTAGAGCAAGATGTAATTTTGTTTTAATGTTTATTTTTATTCCACACACGATTTTAGGTCCCAACTGAATCAATTCACATTCTTAATAGCTATTTCAACATATGCGGTTGATATTCACACTCTGTTGTGATAGAATGGAACTTACTTAATTTGGTGGTGATAACTATAATAGTGCTCGTTCGTGTGAGTGACAGGCTTGTGGAGGTAAAGATTCCTACTGATGCTGCAAGGAATAAACGTCTCACAGGAAACAATTCGTGACACATGTCACTTGGATAAAATATCTTTCCTTGACCTTTATATCTCTATTATAGCTTGATGTTCGTTCGAGTGCCGTATCATGATCAATTTCTATAAAGTCTGTTTATTTTTGTCGCCAGATTTCAACGTGTAATCCGAGCTAAAATGTAAAACTTTCTTCCAACTCTAGGACGATTATGATGAGAGACGATACATATTATAATATTATGTTAAACGTGTACCTCGATAGTCATTTATCACGAATTATTCACGCGTAAATAATATCTCCTCCCCTCCCAAAGTCACATGAATTTATTATAATATATAGGTAACGTGCACACGCGTTGCACCGGTAAAACTGTTTTTTGTATTACTCATCGTAGATGTGATTACATTAAAAATTATGAAAGAACAATGCGGAAAAACAATTTGTGAGTGTATTGTAATATACTTACACATATATTGTACCATATAAATAACAAACTGGAATCTTCGAAGATAAAAATATCTCATCCAATAAGAACGATTAAATCTACACTGAAATCCACATCATATTTATACACTGAATACAATATATACACTTCTTATACACGTATGTAATGCGTGTACCCACGTTTGGACCAGTACATCGAATCTCTTTTTTTTTTCAGAATAAGTTATCTGAAACTTTATAGCATTTCGTAGCAAGCTATTTTTTTAGTTTATCTATTCATCCTTTCAACTTAATTTAACGAATATATTATAGAGAAACTATTCTACTAAAAGCTGTTTTTTAAGTAATAACGTCAGACCAAGTTTTATGAGACAAGACTTCATCGAAATATAATATAATTTTAACGAAATTCTGTTACATTCCTTTGTGAAGAATAAAACATTTCAAAATTGAATTCATGAAATAAAAAACTAGCATAAAATTAATATCCGATAAAGCATGATATTTTTAATATACAATTACAGATAAAGTACATTTCGATACACAATATTAATATAAGTATATTTGTATCGAAATATACTATTATTATAATATTTAGTTACAATTTAATTGAATGTTATCGAAAGATTTCGGGTTGGTAATATGTTTTTGCCTTATGTAATTAAAATGTATTAAAATATTTCACTTTCGTTTGAATGCAGTTCATATGTGTATTTAATGAATTAAAAAAATAATTCTGGCAAAAAGTGAGAAAATAATTTTTTGATTATAGTACCAATAATTAAAGTTTAATTTGTGTTCAGTTTAACATAAGATATTTAAAAAAAAAAAAACATTTGAGTTATTATTTTTAATATTTTTTAGATCATAATCTTATAAAAATAGATTTTAATAATTATATTATTATATTATATAAATTTACAGTTTAAGTTTATAAGTTATAATTTTGTACTTAAAACCTACTCATCGATTTATTACAAATAATAATTTATGTAAATTGGTTTATAACTTTTAACTTTAGACATAAAAATGTATTTTATCATATATATATATAGGTAACAAACATAAATATGGCGTATTGTATTTTTAATGAATTTGAACGATTTTTGGGGTGTTCAAATTAATTTAACATTTTAAAAATGCATGTATAAATAATGAATATTGATTATAATACATATAAGTATAGTAAAGGTTGAAACGTCACTGAATTTTTATTATATTTCATAATAATTATAATTGCTTATCGCTTATGCTGCTGATGGGAGTTGCACAGCGAACAGGTCGTATCGTCCAAGCACTGCCAGTCGTACATTTCGGTAATTAAAAAGTAATAAATATTGTAATCTCCCCAAAGATAACTGTAATCGGCCTCCACTGTTGTCACGAAAATGAAATCGGCGCACTGTATGTTTTCCGTTCAACTAGGTCGCGACTCACGACAGAGTGGACGTTTTTCAAATTGTCTTCAACCATACTGAATATTAACATTTTTATCGCTGGTTTTTCGGTCAACCTGATGTCGGGCTAACTACTTACGAGTCCACGGCGGGCATACATAGCCAAAAATACCATCACCACATCTCAACATTCAACACCATCGCAATCAAGTACTTTTTTCATATTTTATAACCATTATGGTAATGCTAGACAAATGTAGTTCCTTTTATTTTTATCATCCCAATCAAATCTTCCTTTAATTTTTAATAAAAAAATCGAAACCATGTGTTCCAAAATTCTAATTTGTAAAAACACTTAATACATATTTATCCTTCATTCTAATTTTAATTTTTGTTATTTTTTTTTTCTAAATTTTAAAATAAGATACTCAAAAACATCTAAGTTCTGTAACATACTTTTCGGTATCACGCAACGCGACTTTTGGGTCATTCACCAGATATACCCCTGGTTGGTAGGTACAAGTATTCTACTAGTTACTACAAGCATGCAGAAACGTTACAAGGTTTTAAACGTAAAGTAAAATATACCTACTACATTTTGTAAAAGTCTTATTTATGCAGAATTCAGGAAGGTGATTCATAAATATAAAATAAAAACATTTAAACGAACAGCCCCAAAGGAACCAAAGGAACGCATTCATTTTTTCATAAAACATGAACGTGAACGTGTTCATAAAAAGAAAAAAAAATGAACCTGAAAATGAACGAGTTTGATTTTTAAACGAAAACTGAAATATATATATATATTGTAATAATACTAGAAAAAATAGGGTACATGATATAGTTGATTTATTTATTATATACTATATTTTAATCAAGAACATTTTTGCTCTTTTAATTTTTTATTTTTAAGCAACCACACCGTCAAGTTGTTGTAAATGAAAAATAAAATATACAAGAAAATCAGTTTTCACATTAAAACAATTTTCAATCACAAATACAAGAGGTTGATTATTCGATAATTATACGTCAAAGTCAGGATAAGGGAAAAGAAGTGAATTTTGAGTAAGCAACTACTTATGCAACACGCCTTGACTTATAATGTCCTAAAATAATTACTCATATTATTACTATCATCATTATTTCAATGATTATTATTATTTTACTCTCTGTATATTTTTCATTATTATTCGCAATACACATTAATTACATTTATACTGTACATGAGTAAAAAAAAAAAAAAAAATTAAGGTAATTCACAACTAATATACCATACTCTTTTACTCATATAATCCTTTTCACATGACTTTACCTTAAAAGGGATTTTAACTGTGAATATATTAATATATATTATACATATATTATATTATATATATATATATATATACTTATATAACCACGTCAACTTCAGACTAATTTTATGAGAATAATATCGACGTACTGCACTTACCTCTTTGACGCTTATATCGGTCTCCATGATAATCCCTTCATCGGTGGCATCGGTCGCATAATAGTGGCTAAACGGTGCGCCCGGTAACGGCACCGGTTCCACATGTCCCGTTTTCCCATGGTACCGCAGTAGATAAGCAGTCCAACACACATATCTACAGAATAAGAAAAAAATAAACAAATAAATAAAATCTCAGTTAAATGACACATCAGTTCTTATCAACATTACTATTGTATAGTAAATTAATTAATTATATATATTTTTTTTTATTAAAAAATATAACCAAATTGTACATATTTTATATAATATGTATGCACTTTTATTATAATATGTTATGGGTAGGGTAAAATTAATTTTGGTTTTGTATAGTACATATATTTTTTTTTTATTATTATTTAGATGAAAATTTATATTTTATTGTTTTTATATTTAATTTTTTTTTTAGTGCATAACTGCACACATATTGCAATAATTTCAAGTGAATATGGTAGAACCCTAATTATAATATATAATATATATACGTGCACGACAACGTGTATATATACGTGGTTTTACTAATCCATGTTGGTATGCACAGGACACAGTATTATGCCATCAAATCGTAGTTACGTACAATGTATACTATAACATATATCGTATTAGATCAAAAACTCAATCATTCATGGCCCGGTGATCGCGTTAAAAGTTTCATGCTTATTATGACAAGATGGTTCTTCAAAATCATAAACATGGAATGCTACATAAATATTTATTTAACGTTCCTTTGCGTGACGACAACTTATATATTGAGTGGTTACCTCTAGTACCTTTACTTTATACTGGATAATTCGTAAGTAAATAAGAAAAAGTTTTACGTAATTCTAATATCCTTAGGTACTTCAATGAAGTTTTTGATCGGAATGTATCCAACGATTCCCGCCTGAAATTATTATAATTTAGATACTTATCCGAAAAATAATTATAAGTGCAAAATACTAATAAGTTATTAGTATTTTCTACTTTTATTAGTAATAACCCATTCAAAATGAACCACTTAAAAAAAAAAACATTTTTTATCAATAATAAAAGATTTCAAAATAAATACTAAAGCTTTCCTTCCATAGTATTTGTACGCTACTGATTAACATCCAAATTCTTATTTTATAAAATAAATTAACTACTTTCAATAGCCACACATCATGATCCATAAGTAAAAGCTAAATGAATTAAATATCAACGTGTTGGTACTTAACAAGTATCGTAATAATACATTTGAAATAAAACCAATTAAATCATATATAAGCTTTATTAAAGATGAACTATATAGGTATTATGACAATTCCTGAGTTAAATCAATTAGTTATTTATAAATATCTAAATCCAGGAATATCCATTGGAAATTTAATTTGTAATCTTCTCAAAACCAAAATGTTTAAGAGAAAATAAAATTATACTTTACTGTAGTATTTCAAACATAATTACAGTATTTTGAAATATGTTTTTATTTGTTTTGCGTCTGTATAAAATATAATATTTGGTTATGAATTTATGTAATAAACAATAATACACAAACACACTCACACGTATTTTGTGATAAATTTATTTTGGTACTAAAATAGTTACCTCTATAAAATATATCAAACTACGGAATATACTTGTAATGATGTTTATAGTTTTTAATATCATTAATTTCACTGTGCTATAAATATATATTTTGATTTTATAAATGTAACAGTAATGCGTAAAAAAGTTATGAGTCTTAATGTTATATGGTTTTTTGTCTAAATCAATAAAAATGGCGGAACAACTCATTTTAAGAACTTGTTCAAAATTAATATTATACACTATTATGGGTATAAGCAGAACTATATTCTAATAACTGGGCGTTGGTCTAAGCTACTAAATACATAAAAAGGTTAAGGAAATATATCATGATTAATTAGTTGAAATTACTATCTGAATAATCTGAATATTGTCATGGTTTTTAGTGATTTTAAATGTAATGTGGAACGCACAATTATTATAGTGTTTTATTCAAATTTTTTTTATCTATGAAAACGTATCTTAAATGGACTCGATTAAAATAGTGTAGGGGAAAAGTGGGTAAAATGGACCCTAAGGGAAAAAATCCTCCACTTTTTAAACTATTGAACTTTAAGAACTTTAAAAACTCAAAAAACTTTCTCTTATAAGTTCACTAAACATCCATGTTGTGCAGTCCTCGAATAATTTTTCGTTTTTTAATTGTTTTAAAAATTTTTATTTTGCCCTATTTTAGACGTATGTTAGGTAAAAACTTATTCATGTCTGAATTAACTGAGAAAAGTGGCCTAGTTTAATAAAAATGTATAGTTTCAACAATGATTATGAGCACTGTTGGGAGTAGATAATGCAAAATTTATCTAGATAAAGATGAAAGAAAATATATACAAATTCATCTAGATAAAGATAATAGATAAAAAAATTAAAATATCTAGATAAAGATAAAAGATAATTTCATTTTTATCTAGAAAAAAAAAAAGATATTTTCAAAAAAATGTTATTTTTCGGTCAATATTTCATATTCTAATAATATCTATGAAGACTCAATTATAATCAGGGGCGTATTTAGAAATGTCTTATGGGGGATAGGGGCACAAACAAAATGTTCAAAGTATATATGTTGAAATATTTCAACTTAACTCGCAAACTAGTTTACTATTAAAATAGTTTGCTAGTTTACTAGCACACTTAACTAGACAATGCTTTTTTATTATCAGTTAGTGAACTAGCTTACTAGTTGCTAGTAAACTAGCATCGTGTAAACTACGTTTTAGATAAGTAATTAGATAACTTAGCGTTACTTATCTATATAAGATAAAAGATGACAAAAAATCTATCTAGATAATTCCTAACACTTCATGAGTAATTTTTAAACATACTTGAAAGGACAATACATTTTCCCGTTGTTTACCGAGTTGTGTGAGTGTGAGGTTCACTTTATAAACGTAGAATTAAAACTGAAAATTTCCCTAATATTTATTCGTTTATCTATTTAATTATTTTTGAACACAACCAAATTCTGTAGTGTAAATTACTTTACTATTAATATCATATTTTACAATTATAATTCAATATTCCATTATTTTTTGTCTATTAATTAACACGTAATTTCAAATGAATATTTAAATTTAAAATTTAATTTAATACATGAAAAAACAAAGAAATATTAACTCATAATAAATGACGTATTTCTTTCCGTAAAAATTAATAACGATTGTCATTGTGTGTATTTTCCTGATATAGATAATTGTCCATGTACATATGTTTTTACAGCTGAACGAAACCAACAAAATTAACAAGTAAACATTAATATTTAATCATTCTACTTAATTGAAATATATTATGCAAATATTAAGCTATTTCTTTTAAATGAATAATATTAGCTATCAAATTGCCACAAACAAAAAAAAAAAAAATAATAATTGTTTAGATAGTCAAATAAAGTAATTGTTTTCATTGTAAATATCAATTTATAGACCTGATATTAACACCAAATATTATTATAATTTAAGAATATTTAAACAATTATAGAGAGTTTCCCTGATGTAACTTTCAGCTTTCTAGGTTAGTGAGAATGAATGTCTTCAGTCAAGTTTAAATTTAAATCAGAGCTTTATTTTTATTTATAATAATAAACTGAATTATCTACTAAAGTATAAGAACAAATATTAATTAGAATATTCAAGAGAGTTCAGGTTTGATAGAGACTAACGAAATTGATTTTGTGATATTAGACTATCAAAATAACTAGATCTCTCAACAATTAATGTTCAAACAAAATTGTATTTACTTAAATATTAAACGTAAAATTTATTTAATTCTTTGAACAAAAATGTACCTATTTTAAGTTTATAGTCACTTAAGTTCAATTAAAAATTACTATGGCTTCGTTTCACAGAAAAAATAATAATAATAAAGAAAATTGTAAATTACAAATTAGACATTAATTAATTTCCCTACTCAAAATCTAAAATACAAAATGAGATAGCTATCAATTTTAAAAATTTAAAACATTATACTTTTCCATATATCATTTATATCTTATTAGATATTTTCGAAAAATACTCCAATATAATATTTATCATAGTTGTTTTAATGTTAAGATAAAACATTATGCCGAGCACGTTAAAACAATTGTATTCAATTTAGTTATATTTTTTAATTATATTATTTTATGACAAAAAAAAAACATCATAATTTTGGTATTAAAGGAAAACAAATTAAGTTGCACTGAACACTCTCTATTGAAAATGAGTTTTTACGATGGTTAGACATGATAATAGTACTAAAAGTTATTTAAAAATGGTCATTCTAAACACGGTTATGTTTTAATATTCTCAAGTTGCACAAGATCCTAATTACTTTTAAATTATAAACTCTAAAGAATGAACTTTGATTCAACTCTTCTGTTTTGGTTTGATTTTCTCAGATCGTTTATTTCTCGTGTAATACATTATATATATATATATATATATATATATATATATATATATATATATGACTTTAAACTTAAATTCAATAACAAGCATTTTTCCTTTTTTAGTGTATTGATTATAAAAGATAAATTATCATGTGAATACGCATAACATTTTTAACTTTAATACTGAATACATTTTTCTTAACAATTCTGCAGATATTTTATGAATAAATGTCCGAAAATATATTGTTACTGAATGGGTACATTTTGCAACAACAAATATAGTCTATTTGATAGTAAAAATATATCAAATCAATATCAAATTTATCAAAAATATTTTTTTTCTTTATGATAAGTTCGTTTTAATGTAATATTAGCTTATATATATATATATATATATATATATATATATATATGATAAATATTTGTTTTTTCCATTGATGAAACGGAATATTTTAAGAACTATTACTATGTATTTAAAATAATCGATTTCAAGATTGACTAAATGTTTCAACGTATTTAATCAGAGAAACCATACGTATTTAAGCATTTATTAATTGTTATATACTTATATTTATATATAATTATATACTATTAATTATTCACTAGAATTTTCAATGTACTTTAATCCGATAAATTCGTGATTGCGTAATAACATCTATTGTACAACGACCACTGTTGAACGACATCGATACATTTAAGGGTTTGCCTTAGCT